TGATATGGAGGAAGAAGAAAAATAGAAAATGGAGATGGATCAGTAAGTCGGGCACATTTATAAGCCCACGACTTTTGGGCCCAACATGCTCTCTTTGCGAAGAAGAAATCACACCATGTAGCTTTGAGCACTCCTATACAATATCTAATTTTTAAAATTGGTTAGTCGCCTAAAATTAATTGCATTCACTAGCCAAAATAATATATAAAATATTTAATATATATATATATTATCGGTTATTATTTTGGGAGCGACTAAAAATATACATTTCTCTTTTTAACCTTACAAGGCATCGCAGTTGGTAATTTGCTCACAAAATCGAGAATATAACAACAACAACCAAAAGTACTGTTTTTGAAAAGTACTTCTCAAAATAAGTTGATTATATAAGCTTGGCCAAACATGTTATACATCGCATTTGTTAAATGTGTTTTACAAATCACTCGTCGCCAAATGCGAAATCGAAAAGAATGGAATATTGTTTCGTTAAGTTGGATGCGTCAAAACTATTTTTGACGGATAGCTATGTTAAATAGGTCATCTGTCTGATTAAGATTTCTATCCGAACTAGTGCCTTAAGCAGGAAGGAAAATAAAATTATGTGGTATGGTTCGTATATAAGAGCAAGTTTACTTTTAAAAGTTATTTTTTGCCATTATTAAGGAGATATAAAATAGTTCATGAAATGAGTTTGTAAATCGCGTTCGTGAAATGCACATTTTATCCTCTCGTGAATGCGTTTTACATATCGCATTTTTCAAAACACGTTACAATTCGCATTCAATTTACAAATCACATTCGTTAAGTGCGTTTTACAAATCGCATTTAGCATATTCAAGGAATACGTTTTGCAAATTGCATCCTGCTCACGCTTTGAACCAAGAACCTCTTGCATACCATTAAAAATGTGCACTATCTCAATTAAAAGCATAAGTTGTTAGAAAAAGTAGATTTTTTGTTACAACAATTACTACACTTCAGTGCAAAATAAATTGGATTCGGTTATACGAATCTGAACCAACCTTAATTTTTCATTTAAATTAATCTCAAACCAATAGTATACGTAAAAGCTAAGAAGTCAAATGGATCAGTGGCTGAAAATTCCATATAGAAACTAGGTGGTTAGAACCTAAATCGCCGGTAAAAATGGCGAAAGGAGTTAAGAAGGCTGCAGTCGAGGACCTGTCCGCGGCGAGGCTTGTGTTTTTTTTAATTGAAGTTATAGTTCGTTGGTACAAAGAGTGACGGTAAATACTTACCCATATCGGATGTTTACACCAAACTATATTAATTCACTATGGCTAATTAATTGAATTAGATGAGAATGCATATAATTTACCATAGTTAAATGATTGAAGTCTATATGCAAAACGCATGTCATGTATCTATTGATTTGGTGTAAATATCCGGTGCGGATAAGTTTTTTCCAAGAGTGACTATTGTTAAACTGACGCACAAACAAAACAGAGGAGTTCAGTACTTTAGTTCACTTTGCAGCCCATTTAGAAAAAAATAACATATCCGACTGGTTAATTTGTAAAGATTCTAACTCAAAGTATAAGCAAGCCCAGGCGTTCCTTCACATACAATATACCGGCCCAAATTCTATCGCCCGTGCCCCGAATCATAGCAGTGAGATTCTGCTCATTATTGTAGCAAATATAGCCTTACAAACTTATCTTTATTTCTAATATACCTTCTCTTTATAAATTCCTATAACTAAAGCATCGTTTCTCACATTCTGTATAATTTTTTTTGCAACTCCAACGCCGACGCCATTAACCGACGAAGTACAGTCTCCTGTGAATATTCAATAGCTTTATTACTTTCTTTACTAAAGTTCCATTAAAAAGTTCATTTTTTGTATTTATAGAAAAATTATAAAATTTCAGATTATTTTGATTTTTAATTTTTTGCTTTGCTTGTGGACAAGGACGATTCAGTAAAATTAGTAGTCTAAAGCCAAATTTTAACAAAAGACTTTATGCTTATTTATGCTAGAATTCATATATGTGTGCACACATACATATGCAAAAAAACTATTATTACAATTTTGTCCTGCTTGTTGTCATAATATAATATTCTTAAATGATATAAGCCTTCTAACTTTATATAGTAATAATTATTTATATTAGTAAACGATAATTTGAATAAATAAAATATTAGGCATGTATTTACAATTTAATTCCTTTGATATTGTTGTGAAAAATTATATCTACCAATATGAAAATATAAGTAGTTTAATTCAAGGTTCTAAATTATTTTACTATTAAATAATAAACAAAATCTTTTTTTCTTTCCTTTTTACAAATTTTTTATACTTCTTATTTTTCTGCAAAGTTTAATATTGTCTAAGCTAAAATAAAATCATAAAATTCACTATTAAATTTTTTTGGGCTTCAAAATATTGGCGGCCTAAATCAAGGTTTTACTGGCCTCCCTCTTGAGCCAGCCATCTATTCTTGACACTCTCAATTAAATTTTATAAAGTTTCAATTAAGATAAGACAATAATGACAAGAACACTAAAGACAATGAATGTGCCATTCAGTTAACAAATGCGAATGAAGTTGGTTGAACAATATGTTTGTGCTTTAATGGTATCAATGAAATTGGTGGCTAAAATTAAAATATATCAAAAGACCCTTGAACGTTTTTCATAAAATTCATAGAATAATAAGACTATAAAAATGCCTAATGTGAGAGCGCAACGCATACACATGATGTGTCGGATAGGCGCACGCCATGCTATTAAATTCTCATATATACAAAAATATAGTATTAAGTGAAAATGATAAAAGGGTGAGCGCATTACTCATCGAGTTTTTTTATTAACATTGGACATTTGCCTCGAAAATTTCTTAGTTAAAAAATAAGACACAAAAGAACTTACTTTTTGACGCATGAATATGCCAAAAGAAATAGCTAATTTAGAGAATCCGAGTTAAAATTAGAAAGTAAAATCGTGAGAAACATGAAAAAAGAAAGTATACATAGAAGAAAAGTAAAATTGATAAGAAGATAAATATAATGTTTAATTTAATGAGAGAAAAGATTTATCATATTACTCCCTCCGTCTACTTTATCTGATTTTTTGGCCCTTTTTTGTGGTCCAAAATATTTGATCTTTCCATATTTCAAGAGTGAATTAATTATTTTTTTGCAAATTTGCCCTTGAATTAAATAATATTGGAGTACGTGTTATATTTATTTTCCAATGCAATTGGATTCATCCATGTTAGATTGACATTTCACTTCTCTAGTAGTCCACATACTACTTGTTATAAAATTTAATGATCATTTCATCTCTTGCAATTCATGTTAATTATTTTTGTAAAATAAAACTAGAGAGGAAATGTTGAAATTTTTTTGGCTCCATTTTATAGTTCGCTGATATTTTTAAATTAAAATTACACGACAAATTAAGATTTGTTGCTGAAAATTTAAAATAGTCATTGATGCTCACTAAGTTTTCAATGAGTTATGCATGTATTGTTGCTTTGGGTATGGAGTTGCTAATCATCACATCCCAAATCCCAAAATAACATTATATCAAATATAAAATAAAATAAAAAAATGTAAAGAGATAGTAATAAATATCAATATAGTCAATTTCACTCCTAATTAATGTTAAAATATGAAAATTTTAATATGTGTAAAAATATCAAATAATTAAATAAATAATGTGGATCGGAGGAGTAAATTTTTAAAAATATATGAAACTTTTTATTAACTAATATATAATTTAATTATATATTTATGGGGCCTTAAATATTTGGGGGTTAAGGCAAGGTTTCGCCCGCCTTACGGTAGAGCCGCCCTTGCTTTGCAGTGTAAAAAATGATAGCAGCTATTTCGTGGGTTCCCAAAGGGGTTGCAAAGCCAGTTCCAGCTGCGGCTGAGCCCCCTTCAAAGGAAGAAATTGAGGAGCTTTTGAAGTGTGGCCTCCTTGATAAAAGGTATTAGTACTGTTTTTTTTTTGGTATGCCGAAGTGACCTATTTAAGACCTAGAATATTTGGTAATTGGAACTGAACTTGATACTGTTATCATGTCTTGCGTATCGCCCTAAAGATGGACTGGTCCGTAGGTTTAAAACTATGGTCAGTGAAGGTGTTAGAAATGGAACGAGGTAGACCTAAAATCACATGGAAAGAAGTTGTCTCAAAAGAACATCAAATCGTTGGAATCAATGCAGACTTAGCTAAAGAGACTGCACAATGTTAGAAAAAGCTTTAAATTTGTTAGAGAACTTTTAATATTATTACTATTTTATTATTTTGAGTTGAGCTTAAAGAAATAAGTAAGAATTCATATTGTCGATCCCAACTTTGTAGTTACTAGTTATTGTATTGTATTGGAACTGAACTTGATACTTCCTTTTGTGTAATCGTTGCTTTGCCTTACTCTTGAAAGTCTGGTGCTTTATTTCCCTTGCAGTGAAGATAGTGATAATGAGGAAGCTGAAGAAGATATGAATGTTGATGAATCCAAGGAAAACGAGGATGATGAAGTTGCTGTTGCATTAGCAGCTGCTAATGCACTTGGAAAAGCCACAAAAGATGTCTCTCTAGGAACCGATAACATAACAAATGGTTTAAAGGAATTGAATATGGAAAACTACGATGATGAGGAGGATGGTAACTCAATAAACCTGTTAGCTGATATGTTCATTTGGGTTGAATACTGATTCTTTCCTTCATTATTATATCTAAAGTTGCTGATGAAGCACTCGGGCACCGTGTTCATCTGAACCCATGCAGATCATAAATTTATTTATAAAAATTCATTAATATTGCAACAAATAACAGGTCTGAACCCACAATTTTAAGAATACAATGGTCTCAATGCTAAAAAACTTAAAGGTTGAACCCATGAAACTAAATCCTAAATCGCCTCTACTGGCACCCAGGGACTAGCGTAGTCTCCACTATGACATATCACTTTTTACTTGGAAAGCTATTGCTACTTTTATTCCTAATTGTCAAATTTTAAATGGATTTTGATTTAGTTTGCATCTCTCTCTCTCTCTCTCTCTTTGCATGTGTTTGGCGTTGTCAGGCATTGAGCTTTTCGGTTCGGGACTCAAAGACTTGTACTACCCAAGTAATGACATGGACCCATATCTCAAGGATAAGGTTGCAGAATGACCATTTGTTTTCCCTCACGCTGGCTCCTTTGAAGTATTTTCCATTTTACTTACGGATGAAATTCTTCTCTCAGGACAATGACTCAGAGGAGGATGAGGACATGACAATAAAGCCTGATGATTCTATTATAGTTTGTGCAAGCAATGATGACGATGTCAGTCATCTTGAGGCAAGTAAAACTTACTTCAGACTTAATTATACTTTCATCTGTATGCCCCTGGTAATTTCATTTGGCCACCTTTAATTTTGTAACCTTCATCTGTGCCAGCAGATCTGGATTTTGGAAGTTTTATCAGATGGTACTGTAAACATGTATGTTCATCATGAGATTATTATTCCTGCGTTTCCTCTCTGCACAGCATGGATCGATTGCCCTATTAAAAGTGACGAGGGGAAAGGTAAGGTTCTTCTTGAAGTTGAGCTTGCTACTGAAGTTTTTTTTCTTAGTGGTTGTTGAACATATATAACTTTCGGAAGCAATTCTTTGACATCATTTTTACTTCTTATATTTCACTTTGTTATATATGTTTTTCATTTCTTCTGTCCAGATAATAATTGTTTGGACATGCTTTAATCATTGACACCATTTTTTCGGCAATTGTTCATTAGCACTTGTTCTTCACTAAAAGCCCACTCTTTAGTTGATTTTGCTCTAAAGCCCTTGGCATCGGCACTTCCCTGTGCTTCTTTACCTTGGTAGATTTCAATAATTTCAGAGGCTAAAGAAATTATGCTGCTCACTATGATATAGGAGTACTGCTGTTTTATAATTAGTATTAAGCCAAGAGATTCATTTGCCATATAATATGACCTTTTAATAAAAATGCTATGATAAAGTCTATATAAGTTGCATTTCACTCACCCTGCTTACCTTTCTCTTGGCCTGTAGCGTTTGGTAGAATGGCAGCCACCAGCACCACACACTTGTTTAGAAGGCAAACCTTTCAGAACCATCCGCAAACATTAATTTGCGATCGGGCTATATGCCCTTCCATTGTTTCACTCTTTTCTCCTCAGTATTTTTTCTTTTCTTTTACCCATTTTACCACCGAAATTAGGCACAATGAATCTATTTGATGCAATTTGATCTTAGATTTATAATAGTTGATCTTTGTATAATTGATGTTGTACTTCCTTTGCTCATGTTAATAAATGAGTTATATGTTGATAGGGAACTTCATAGCTGTGGGCTCAATGGAACTAGCAATTGAAATTTGGGACCTAGACATAGTAAGTGACTGCACACTGATCTTGATGAACTCCTGACTCACTAATCATATCGCACTATCTTCATTCTTTGTAGTTGGATGAGGTGCAACCAGCTGCTGTATTAGGTGGAATCGCTGACATAAAGAAAAAGGGGAAGAAGGTAATCTTTAATCCAATTTTCAATTGGAATGGTCTTGTATGCTAAGTCAGCTTGTTCAGCTGAAATTATTTTTATATGTTAAGGTGGAAAACATGTGGACTAGTTTCCTGGCTTCTCTGTTGAATAAAGTAGTAGGTTAATTTCAACACTTGGCCATCACTGATGGTCATTGTTAGGCTTTTATCTCTAGTAGTCCCAGTTTCCTTCTTACCTCATACATGTAGGGCTGTCATCTTCCACTTATATATGATACTGTTAATAAATTTCCTTCTCTCCTGTCCAAAGGAAACAAGGGCTGCGTATACCTCAACACCGATGTGGACCTTTTTTTTCCGGGGGAAACCCTACTAAACTGTTAAAGAGTTGACTGCGTATAATTCAACGATTGGTGTCTCCATGCTGCAGTGTAACTCATTAATGCATAGATTGTTGGGCATGCCCTATCTTCACAATAATACTGTATTTTCATGCTTGATATTATGAGATAGGAACTATCCATATTAGTAGTCTAAGAGGCTCTAATTGATGGCCATGTGAGCAACTTGAGGTGGTGATGTTCTTGATATTATTAGGCTCTAATGTATAAGAGGCTTGTCTGAGTATTCAAGCAGCTAGTTGGAACTGCAGTGTATCAGTTGTCTATTTCTGTTATTGGATGTCTTGAAGGGCTTGGACTTCAGTTCAACTGACATGTTCTTGGTTAACTCACTCTCTGTGCCTCTACTCTACACTATGCATGCGATGCAGGGCAAGCGTATATGTGCCGAGGAGTCGATTATTGGCATTATTAGTTTCTATATTAAAAATTAAATTGACCAATGATATGGTTTGAAGAGAAACTACCCCTTCACTCATCAAAAGAAAAAAGAGAAACTACCTTTAAATAGCCATTTTGTTGTTTTTCTGTCATGGCAGCAAATCTGGTCAATTTTGTGAGAGTTATTTAACACATACCAAATACCAGTGTTCAAACCTCATTCTTTAGAAAATGAAAGAAAAGGAATGATAGTTTGCATGGTGGATGGTCTTTTTACGATTTGATAATTGTGTGAACCCAAAACTTACTTCTTATGCCCCATTTACCTAATTCTTTAATTTTTTTTTTTTACTTGTAGAAAACCATCAAATACAAAAAGGATAGCCACTCCGATTCAGTACTTGGTCTCGCTTGGAACAAGGAATACAGGTATGGATCTCTGATTGATCAGTGTATGATGTTTGCGTTAGACAGGTATAGTCAAAGTTCATATGTTGTCTTGACCAACATTCTACGCAGGAATATGCTTGCCAGTGCTAGTGCTGATCAATCAGTCAAGGTTTGGGATGTGAATACCAGAAGCTGTACTGTCACTATGAACGACCATACTGACAAGGTAGAATCCGAAATTTTGTAGCATGTTGTTAAAACATCATATTGTTTTGTATCAAGGACCGAAACCCCCCCGATACACTTATAGTTTTTTCTTATGTAGGAGACCTCTCCTGCATGCTAAAGTAAACAATATGCATTTACTATTCTTTGAAATTCTATCTGATCAAAATTGAATAATTTATAAAACATTAATCAGCAGCTTGTTTACAAAATTATGAAAGAGGCAGATTCATCATCTTGCTCCGCTTTGTCAGGTTCAAGCAGTTGCATGGAATCCATTTGCATCACAGATTCTCCTGAGCGGGTCATTCGATCATACAGTTTGCATGGTGATAAAGCTTTTCTCCTTCTTCCTTTTTGCCCCTTTTTGTTTTGGAAAGCTAGGACTGTGGATTAGCTTCTTAGTTTAAGATTCTAATTCAACTTTCAATATGTCTTGCAGAAGGATGTGAGGTATCCATCTCACAGTGGATATAAGTTTCCAGTTTCTGCTGACGTTGAAAGCTTGGCTTGGGATCCACATTCTGAGCATTCATTTGTGGTCAGTGCTTGCACTGTGTTTGTGACTTACCCAGTCTATTTTTCAAGGCTTTGTTTGTTTGTTATGCTACATGATTAGATAGTACCTTTAATTCTGTTATGGGAATCGTTAGTGTGGAGATTGTGAATAATTTTCNTCTGTCTCCTAGTTCCTATGGACTAAAATGAAAATAAAAACTAGATAAATTCAATCTGCCATGTGATCTTTTCCCCTTGGCCAATCACTAAATTTCTGTTCCCTATAACTGTATGAGACCTAAAAGTTTTTTGGTTAGATTGAATAAATCCGTTTTAAAATCTGCTTGGAGATTTTAATCTGGATTTGTATTGGACATTAGGAATTGCTGACCAGAGTAGAGTTCCATAAAACTTTCAGGTCAGCTTGGAGAATGGTACAGTTACTAGTTTTGATATCCGTGCTGCTAGTTCTGATTCGAGTTCTGCGACAAAGCCAAGTTTCACCATCCATGCTCATGATAAAGCAGTGTCCTCGATGTCCTTTAATCCTCTAGTCCCGAATGTATGTGAAACCTTTTTTTTTTCCTTTTTTGCGTTACCCTTTAATTCGTTTTTTCTTACTCATTTTCCCCGTGTATTTTGGACAGCTTCTTGCAACTGGTTCCACGGACAAGATGGTACTTTCTTGTTGTCTCTGTTTGCTGCTTATTACCTAGTTTTGATTTATTCCGGGGGATGAGAGTTATTCCACTGATTAATTTAATTATGTGCTGCAGGTTAAACTATGGGATTTGAGCAACAATCAACCTTCTTGTATTGCATCAAGGAATCCAAAAGCCGTATGTGATTTGCAAATTTTTGTGGTCGAATATTTATTTGATACATATTTTTCTGTCAACCTTTCAAGAACAAGGTTTTAGAGGGTTATACATTTTGATAGATGTACTATCATGATGACCACTTCGTTTTATTTTGTTATCAGGGAGCTGTCTTCTCGGTTTCCTTCTCAGATGATTCCCCCTTTTTTCTTGCTATTGGTGGTTCTAAAGGGAAGTTGCAGGTAAGTTGTGTTCTCTTTGAAAGGATTAGTTTGTTGCAGCTCTAGTTTCTGTGGTTTTTGGGCTGTAAATGACTGAGAATGTCTTTAATTATCATTTGCAGCTATGGGATGTTTCTTCAGAAGATGCGGTGTTGAAGAAATATGGGAAATATGTCACGCAAAAAGGGCCGTTGCCCAAATCATAATGTAAATGTAGTTTCTAAATATTGGTTTTGAGTTATATAGGGAAAATATTAGCTAATCTGTCAATTTTGATTTGTGTTTTAGTAGGGTGGTTATTGGTTCCCATTATTTATCATATGATCATGGTAAATTTTATTGTTGCTTGCCTGGGCCAAGGGACAGAGAAGTGAAGAGTTTGGTGGAATCAAGATAACAAATCACCTCCTCCTATGTATTGAGTTGAGATATAGAATGGTTTGTTTGTTTTTGAACATAACCTACACAAGATCAATGAACATGTAGTGTGAGGCTCAATTAATCCTTTGGAAAAAACAATCTGAAGCCTTTCCTCTTCCTATACTTTCCCACGCCAAGTTCTTTTTTTCACAAACTAGGTGAAGTGATGTCTTTGCTATGCACGGTCCCAACGTGGGGCATTTGCATCTATACCCGTTTTTTGTATCACATTTTAATTTGTGCTCGCTTTGCAAAAAAAATTGCAAGCGTACCCGCTTTTTAGCAAATCTTCAGCATACGGGGCTGAAGTAGCAAAGACAATCACGTAAAACTTTAGCATTTTAGTCGCGGGCCTGAAGAGCTGAAGTTTGTGTTAACTGGAAAGCTGAAGTTTTGTTACCACCTAAAGTTTTGTTACCACCTATTAATATTACATACGAGAGCGCGAGGGCGAGGTTAATATGAGTAGATCCATATGCACCTTTTTGGAAGTAATACGTACATAGAAAAAATATTGAAGTATGCAAGAAAGATAATTTTTCTTATGAGAAAATGGAAAATAGAACATTGACAATTGTAAAGAAAATAAGCCATCAAGTGAGCACAATTTATATATAAAAAAAAAAAACCTAAAATTGAAAGTAGGACAATCTTGATCTATTCAGTAAACTTTCTTTTTCCGATAGTGATAGTGTCCGAACAGCAACACCTCAACTATTACGCCATTAAAAATCTGCTACCTCCCACCAACACAAGTACAAGATAATACCTAACAACAAATAGAAAGAAATCACTTGACATTTTTTAATCTTTACTAAGTTTTGGAATTTCTTAAAGTCCAGGGAATTTGGGATTGAGAGTTTAGGTCATTTGGCTTAATTTTCATAGTCAAGGCAAAATTGGTAATTTAGCTTTGCAGTAATTTTGCATAGCATTTCTCAATTCTTCATTAGGTCATGTGACCACGCTAATCACAACAGTGATTTGCTTTGTAGATTATATGACACCATCACGATATTATGGTATATTGATGCATGGCACTGCATCTAACCAAAATCTTCCTCCATCAGACAACCTTACAAGTCACTGCTTTAACATATTTTTCCTTCTCCGGAAGTGCAGCAACATATAATAAGTTTAATTACAACTTTGTATCCTGATTAACTACCTACTCCACTTGTTTCAAGTCCAGACTAATGTTCCAAGCAGTTCTGCAGCCAACTCTTAGTCAAACTAAATCATCTCAGCAGAAGAGGCTAGAACTAGCACAGAATACACTCATACAATGACCTCCTACCAGAAAATATTAAGCCGCACCAAACTGGAATGAGAATGCATTAACTAAAGCATCGAAATGGCAAAAACGATTACCAATCTAATGAAATCAGCTAAACAATTTAAAGAAATTTTGTAGTGTTGAACTTACCAGGTACAGAAATATCAGCAACTTCTTCAAGAGCCTGGCAAACGGGTGTTGCTGTGCCTTCCTCGCAGAGTGCATCAAACACAAGAAAGAAGGAAGTCACTGATTTCCTTCATGTGGAAACCAAAGGATCATTCAGAAATAGATGGTTACTCATACATTCAATAACACAGAAACAGACCCAAAGTTTTTTTTTCTTTTAATGAGAAAATGAGACAAAAACAACAAGGCTGTGAAATTGACACTGAGAGAAAATAAAAAACATGAAGAACCATCTATACACGAGAGACAATCTTCCAATAATGGAACAAGCATCCATTTTAAGTTAGTAAGAGAGCAATTTAAAATGAGGAATACAGTCACCACACGACCTAGTTCTTCATGGTAGCCAACCAGAGAGTCTTTGTTTGTTTTTTTTGCAGTTAGATAGCTTTCAATGTCCTTTTGTACAACCTTTCAGCCACAAGTCACTTCTAAATTGTTGTACTTTCACTGCCAAACTAAAGGTCATAAACCCAATGGTGGCTTGTAAATGTTTTCCACAATAAGAATCAACTCAGAAAATATTTAAATGCATACCTTGTTGAGAACAGCCATACATGATTTGTTGGTAGTCTCCATTCCCTGCAAAAAGCAATTACATCGGGAGTTGAATAGAACTTTGGTTTTCCATTTCCCAACTCCGTGACTGCAGTCACGACCGCTGTTCAAAGAAAGATTGGAAAAAGTATCAGCAAAAGTTTGCAGTCAATTACAAGCACATAACCATAAATAACCTAGTTCAACAAACAGGCAAATTATGGATTATCAGATAATGTGGTCTCCGACTGTACATAGATCAATATTCTAATGTAACCTCCAAAACTATGAAGGATTCTCCTGCATAGCAAGTACCATCAGATCCTTAAGTGTGAAAGTTCAACCCAACTAATAGAGTTCATCTCTTAAGACCAACAGATGGTCAAGAGCCAATGTCACCCAAAAAATAGTCAAAGAACTCAGTTAGAAGACCGATTTTTTTTTGAAACCAAGACATATGACCTCTCCCAAGGATATAATTCATGGAGATGTCAGGCTCCCATTGAAACCTTACCATAATCATCTTGCGGGCGTTGTCCATGGTCCCCCAATACTGCTGTGACTAACTCCATTGATATGCACATGCGATTGCGCTGCAACATCCAAGGTTAAATCATTCGAATTACAAATAAAAGTGAGAACCAGAGCTGCTTCACAAAGGTTTTGCAACTAGATTAACAAAATGTAGAGTTAAAAAAAACATGACACAACAAGCAAAATTAACACCAGGTGAGAATGGAAACGAATAGAGCTCTGACAATTGGCATTCCGTCGAGTAATATTTTCAGAGTGCTAGTTCCAAATACAAGTTGATATCCCGTTAACAGTGAAAGTGCGCGACCTGATGAATCATATGAAAGACATGATACCCATAAAACGATTGCCACTGTTCAATTTAATATAGGGAACTAAACTATCCCCACAGAACTCTAGTGCAAGCCCTACCCTAGGCAACTGGTCATTGTGCAAGATCTACTCTCGGCAACTGCTAACACGTAAAGTTCAATCGAAGCCCGTAAATTTTTCAAGTGTCTCATTTCAAACTCCTTTATTTTTTATTTTTAAATAACCAATACTTCCTCACATTTCAAATTCAAGAGCATTTTCAATAATTTTACAGAGTAACAGTTAGGTAAACCCCCAGAGAAGGCAGTTTGTTCCTGGTCTAGACAGAGCTTAGAAATTTGAATTTGTTCAGAAAATGTAGTGAGTATCCAACTCCTAGCTGGTCTAAGGAATCCTTGACCTTGAGTAGAAATAGCTAAGCATCTACAAGTAACTGTAATGCTTTCAAAACCATAAGTTTTAGCAGATATATACCAAAACATTTTGGAAAGAACCGGTCATTCCATTATGTATTGTCTTCAGCCTCTTTTTTTTTTGGGTACGGCAAAGTTTTATTGAAGTGCAACACTAAGGAAATACTGCAGAAAATTACAAACAAAAAAAAATTCACAGATTCATAGTAGTTAACAAGTCCATAAGATCAGCCAAATTTAGTAATTTACTACACGCTTCCTTTTGACCAACAGTACAAGTTTTGGATACATCTGTACTTGACTAAGGAAAGATGAATTTTCTTGTCTTCAAAGCAACCTCCTCTCCAACCAAACATTCCAAGCAATCCATAAAGGAATAGCTGCCCATCTCTCTTTCTAGTCAGCATTCAGTGATCTTCAGTAGCTCAACAAAAACATGAAGTTCTGAGGTACCGCCCACCACACTCCAAATAAGTTTAGAAACAAGGACCAAATCAGCCATGTGAAGTTGCAACATAGGAAGATATGGCTCCATTGATTCAGCTGCCTCCTCAGACAGAAAACATCTGCTACAAAGCATGAAACCCCTCTTTGTAAATTTTCATGAGTTAAACAAGCTCCTATGAAACCAAACATCCAAAACAAGCTACTTTGGTAGGATCATAGTTTTCCATATCATCTCCCAAGGCCATAGAGCACCATAGTTCTTCCCTTGTTCTTGCAACACATTATAACCGGATTTAACGGAGTAAACCAAATCATTGCAGGTTGTCGGTTGTCAAAGACTCATTTGAGGCGCGCTTAAGCCCTGAAGCTCAAAGAAGCTTGGGGTAGGCACTTCGCCAGTTCACCTCACTTAGGTTGCGCTTCAAGTAGGCAAGGCAATAAGGCGTACGCCTCATTGCCATTAATTCTATCTAGAAAAAAGTGGTACTAAACAATAAATTTGATTGGCAAGAAGATACATTAATTGTTGAGTAAAAATATTAATTATGAAGTTGGTATTTTTCCTCGCAGTAAACATAGATATTTAATTTTTTTCTCTGTTGCGCCTTCTTTAACTAAAGTCCACACTTTAGTTGCTCTTTGCACTTAAGCCCCGAAAGACCTGGACGCTTTTTGCCTTTGACAACACTGTTGTCCAAAGTATAGTATCTTCCCCCTTACTATCCAACACAACATACTGCATTTTCTGAAAAATTTTGCAACTCTACCAACTCCCAATCACATAAACTCCTTCTAAATGGAAGTTCTAGCCATCATCCATCTTCCTTAAAGATGTCAGCACAGTAACATCAGGCTACCAGAACCAGTCTATAAAGGTTTGGGTAGTTTTCATAGACCATCCCCTCTTCAAGCCAAAATTCAGTCCATAACTTGATCTTTCTTCCATTCCCCAAAAATTTTAAATTCTGCACATAAACTTGCAATCTGTTTGCAAATGACAAAACCATTGGGAGATTTTACAAGGATTTTCTATAATCCAGTAAATCATGTAGGAGCAAAAGTGCTCCCAATTACGCTCTCCGAGATTCTTCTCTCTCTTCTTCTTCCTAAGACTCCACCACCCCCATCAAGAGCCAAGCTTCCCGCGACCAAACCCCAGACAAGTCCTCCGGCAACCGAGCTCTCACGCGCCCTCACGCACGGCCAATGCGCCTGATTTTCCGATGAGATCTCATTTTTCCGGTGACTTTTTCAAACTTTTTTCTTTAGACAGCCTTTTCTCGAGGCTTTTCCGAGCCTTCCCGTCTCAGTTTCACCTAAATCCGATGACTTTTTTCTTTACCGGTCATTAAACCCCAGATTCCGGCGACTTTACCAGAAAACTTTCAAAAATCCGCCAATATATGGAAATGGAATTTGGTGCATACATTCCATCTCAACAGAACACTCTCCATCTACACCTTTTTCTCACATTAATCTCTGCAACTCAATTTAATGATATTATATGCCTATTGGCAGATTTCTGAAACTCTTCCCTACTATTCCCTAACCATTAAACCCAAAACTTTCTTCCCTTCCTATATTTTATTTTTCACCCTCTGTGACTACTGATTTTTCTAACCTTTGAGGTTTTACCGGCCAGACCTCACTTCTTTTTTGGGACAGCTGCATCTAGAATAAGATGGATTCTACATAGAGAAACTCTGGAAAACATGTCTTTCATCAAAGCTGCCTCTTGGCCAGCCCTAGAACTTGAGGGAAGATGCCATCGAAAGCTTGAGGTAGGGTAGGAGCCGCACTTCTCGTTGTCTGAGGAGCACACTCTCAGGCGCAAGGGCTTCTTGAAATCTTGTCTGATTGGGTCTTTCTCCAAATGGGTTGGTTCTCCAGAGGCTGTTAGGAACTGGGCAGCAGAGGCATGGAACGTCAAGGACGGGTTGAAAATATCACAAATGGGGGGCACACAATATCTCTTTCGTTTTGTCGGCGAGTGTCAAGCTTCAGAAATTCTTGTCCGATGAAATAAATTGTTCGATGGGAACTTCTTAAAGCTAAACGTGTCTCGACCCTCGTTTCACCGGCGAATCATGGGTGGTCAACATGGTGGGTCCCCCGTTGCATCTTTGGTGTCTTGACCTATTCAAGAAGATTGGGGAAATCTGTGAGGGTTTTATTGATGTCAATTGCAGCTTACACGATCTCTCGCGAGTGAGGATTATGGTGAGGAAAGGAGGCAGAATCCTTGTCTCCACTGTGATGGAAAATGGCTACTTGAGTTATATGGTTTTTGGTTGAGCCCTGAATTTCGCCCTATCTTTATGCCTGAGATAGTGGCGGAAGAAAAGGGAATGTCAAATGGAAGGGAGGGGAGGGGAGGGCTCACCGGATCAGTGGACTAAGCCGGAATCAGACGTTAGATCGAGAAGTGACGGGAGGCTTGATTTTGGGAGAATACAAAATTTCAACAGGAGGAAAAGACATGAATGGGTTAGTGATGCGGGCTTGGAAAGGTATAATGAGCCGGTTCTCTTCTAATTATCATAGGGCCTGGCAAATTTTCAGAAAGTATAGGCATGGGCCTCCTCACATGGACCCAACAACTTTTCCCAATTCTATTAGAATTGATCCTAAGGGCCCAGATTATTTCAAACTGCGTCTGATAAGGCTCCTAAGCATATGGGAACAGTCGTTCCTCCTTCTGCCAATAGTGGTTCACACTGTGGCATTTCTTCACCGAGCTCTAGTGACCTGCGCCCCTCTTCGAGGGTCACTGCTTCAGGACAACACCAACTAAAGATGGTGTTGTTATTCCACGACCTCCCGCCTCTGATAGACCCAGCTACATCGCCCCTTCATCTACTCCTAGACTTAGTTATGTTGAGGTTACACTTCAAGCATTGTTGAGCATGCCCCTATTGATGTTAGTGCCAGACCAGTATTTCTAGTTAATATGCCGCCAAGGGTTCTATGTAGGGGTGACCATAAAATCCGAAAAACCGAATTCTGAACCGAATTAATTCGATATTTTGGTTTCGTTTTTTTTCGGTATTTCAGTCTAATTCGGTATTGCATTTTCGGTATTTCAGTACGGTTCTCGGTATTAGAATTTTGAAATTTCGGTATACCAAAATTTTAAAGCCTTTTTTTTTTGGACTCTACCCAGCCCCAAGCCCAATTTTATAATTTAGTTCCCAATTTCTCATCGCCCCACCCCTACCCCAAGCCCAACTGCCCAAGCCCACACTTCTTTAAACCTAAACGAGGAAGTAACTCCAAAAGTGAAAGCGTGAAAGAGAAATGAGTTTTTTTTTGGTTATAGAGAAGTGCCCGATTATTATACTCTTACATTCAACAAATCAAATCTCTCTTTCCTTTTTCCCCCTGCAATTTGCTTAGGAAAGACATATTAAGATATTTGAATTTCACAATTTCTTTGTCTAGGAGAGATACACAAAAATTGTTAACCAAAGTTTGATCCAATAAAATGAAGATGAAATAGTATCATTTATAGTACCCTTTTAGTTAAAGACTTAAAATGGGACTTCCCTTATCCAACAGAGCCTTATACAATTTAATCCGAGAATGTGAATATGCCAATTATTCTAAAAGCTTGAGGCCTTTCAATTTGAACTCATCTGAATATAACATCTGGTCTTCATCCTCATCTATTATTGTTGAACCACAAAATGGATTAGGGAATATACTATCCAACTTTGTGTTGCTTATTTAGAAAATATTAAATCAAAACTGTACCGAACCAAAATAATAAATACTGAATCGTATCGAAATAATTTGTTACGGTATTTGATATGTACAATTGATAAACCGAATACCGAAATTCTTAAATACCGAACCGAAATAGGGAATGCCTACCCCTAGTTTCAAGTGATGCATGCTACAGACACTGAGGCAGCAGAGCTGGCTGCGTACCAGCTGAAGGATGTTGCCAACACGTGGTATGAAACATGGGAAGAGTCCCGGGGGGAGGATGCAAATCCTGTGACTTGGAAAGATTTTGCAGATGCGTTCCTCGAGCACTTTCTACCCATTGAGGTCTTGGAAGCTAAGGATTTGGAGTTTGAAAGACTTAGACAGAATGATATGAGTATGAATGAGTACTACCTCAAGTTCGTCTCTCTGGCCAAGTATGCTCCGGAAATGGTACGTGATATGAGGGCCAAAGTTAGGCGGTTTGTGTTGGGGCTTTCAGATGATTTGTTTGCTGATGCTAATATAGCTGCTCAGAATAATGACATGACCATCACTAAGATGGTTGCCTTTGTTCAAGGGAACGAAGACAGGTTGGAGGAAGAAGAGCGGCTATG